ATGGTTGCGATCACGCTACATCTAGTGGCCCGACCGAGAAAGACGCGAAATGCTGCCAGACATTCCATCGTGGAGATAGGCCCTGATACGCCACGTTATAAAAACAAGAATAACCTATGCCGCCATGTGACATCATGCAACACACTTTACATTCGTGGAACCAACATTGAGTCAAATATTACCCGCACCCCAATTTTCAACTAGCAATTTTTGAAAAAAAAATGCGGTTTATATTTAAATATATATGATATTTTGGCTAAAGTAGGGGTGCAGATTGTTATATGACATAAGAAGTGGCTCTCCAAGCCATCTGTCAGGTTCAAATTATATCAATTGTATTATTAAAGTTATAATTTCATTCTTTGTTTAGTGTGTGTTATTTATGTACTAATAAAATATGACATATGTAAAGTGCAAAAGTGGGTTAAGAAAAGTAGTGGGCTCCTCCCATGTGTTATATTGCGATTTGTGCAACTCTGCCCCTGGCAGGTATCAGCTGTTGTTGATTTCATCCAACCGGGAGCTTGGATGTCACTAAGGTAACGTGACTATGATGACATGTAAGCTCCCGATTGAATGAGTCTGTCAACAGCTGATACCTGCCAGGGGCTGGGTTGCTTAAATCGCAGTATAGGCTGTGTTCACCTATGGCCTAGCATAAAGAGGTTTGTTGCAGTGCATATAGGCCCATTCACAATGCAAACATAAACATAAGCATGGCATTAACATAAAAGTTAGGACTACATCCACAAGTGAACTCATTCACAATGCATTTGCATAGCATAACACGTAGAGACGTTAACTTAAAAGCTTCAAGCTTCTATGCTTATGGTTAAGTAAGACATGAGAAATGAACCAATCACAGAACGGTAACTCAAAATCAAAATCGAAATTGAAGCAAAGTCGATAGAAGAACTAATGCCATATGGGCCATGGACACAGTCGGTACCTTGAAATCGAGTCTCACATCCAACCAATAGTAAACCAGAATGTCTCACAGCTATTTTGCTTATGTTTATGTTAGAAATTGTGAATACTTGAGTCTATCACTTATGTAAATGTTTACATGTATGCGCTATGCTTATGTTTTAAGCGTTTGCATTGTGAATGGGCCTTAATGCCCTTTTTGCTGTGTTGTGCAGCGGAGGGCGCGTCGGCGGCGGCTGAGGAGGCGTCGACGGCGGCGGCAGCGGCGGGGGCGCGGAGGCGGCTGCGGCGGGAGCGGTGACGGGCGCGGGCGCCGGCGGCGCGGAGCGCGGCGCGGGCGCGCGTCGCCGCCGCCGCCGCGCTGCCCGACCACGTGGACGGTGCGGCCGTCGACGGGCGAGGAGCGGCGCGAGTTCCGCGAGCAGGAGCGGCGCCGCTACGCGCACCCGCACCGCGCCTTCACCTACCGCCTGCACGGCTACGAGAGCGTCGTGGGGCCCGTGAAGGGCGCGTACGCGGCGGCGCCGCGGCCAACAAGCCCCGCGGCCACTCGCTGCTCGTCGCCGACCGCCCCAACTTCGTCACCATCCTCGCCCTCGGTGAGCAGCCACAGCCACAGTTACTTCTTTAGAATAACTCTTATAATAACAACTTCTTTATTCTTTTATAGTTATATATTGCGGTAGAGTCGTATCTCATGCAAACTTGTTACAACTTAATGTAAAAAATTAATTTTTTGCAATTGTTTTGGTACAGATATATTTAAGGTACAATTTTTAAAAATGTAATGCCATTTGAAATTGTGACATTTATCTTCATTAGTATTACAAGACATCAATTCTGAAATTTTTGTTATATTTCAACCCTTTGTCCCCATGTCACATTTGTCCCTCTGTCCCTCTTTTCCATTTGCTCCCTTAGCTCACTTTTTTAATTTTTTCCCGATATCAACTTGTCACATTTTGTCCGGTATGCCTCCTTGCCCCATTTTGTCCCGTTTGTGTCCCTATTGGTCCTTCCGCACCCTGTGTTGGTATTTACAAACGGTACCTAGTCCCCATGTAGCAGAACATTAAGAGTAATGGCAATTCTTAACTTATGGAAGAGATAATGTTTATTTTGAATAACTAGAAATAACACCAAATGTAACACATCCTCTATTGGTCTTTAAGGACTTGTTACATAAATAAATATTGTTTTCTTTGTTGCATTTACAGATTTATCTCATCACTTTAGGTTCTGTGCCAGAAATTGATCTTTTAGCATGTTAGGGATGCCCTGGAAAAACTGTTTTGTACTGAATTTCCCTGCAACTTCATTTGCTTCCCATTAATTGATAATATTAAAGTTATATCAAAAATTTATTTATGTCACTTGCTTTTTTAATTTATGAGAAAGAATTTTATGCAATTCCATTAAAAGAAATGGCGATCTCTCTCTGTGAAATACTGATGCGGCTGCTGCTAGCAAGTGGCAATTGGTATAGTATCAGAGATAATTTTATTCAACATAAATTATTTTTGTGATCAAAATACAGTGAAATTTATCACAAGTGTTTGTTATAATTCAAGTTATTACAGTGTCTTTGGTTGCAGTAAAAAAATCTGGGGTTCTGGTTCATGTGAATTCCAATAACACATGGATGTTTTGTCTGGTGGCATTAATGGCTAAAGACCATCATGGCATTCATGTAAACCACCATTCCAACCTTAAATCATTCATCTCTCACCATCATTTAACCCTCTTTTATCACCTCTACTATCATCCATTCTGTACAATCATCACATACCATCATACCATATTCAATGAAAGATATGGCAAAAAACCACTGATATCACCTGTCAAGAAAGGAGGGGGCTAGCTATAAGTCTCCCTTTCACTTGCACAAAGGAATGAGTGTGGAACATAACAACACTTTTGACTCTTCTTGTACCTCTTGTTTATTCTCATCTTTTTTACCCTTGCCGCGACGATGGTGTAACGGTTAGCGTACTGGACTGTTGTACCGAAGTTGCGGGGTTCAAACCCGATCGAAGCCGTGGATTTTTAAGGGCGAAAAAATCCTTCATACGCCTTCCTTCGGAGGGGAAGTAAAGCCGGCTGTCCCATGTTTGTAGATTCACTTGCATGTAAAAGATCCTCAAGCCTAAATGACGCCTCTGAGCTAAATTCAAGTCGCCTGTTTCTCGCCCAAGAAATACCTCCTTTCTCCGGTAGTTGGTGAAAGGAGCGTAGCGAAATTTGCGTGGTCAGACGGAAGAGCAGGCCTAATGGCCTGAGTCTCGCCACGTAAAAATAAGGCATAATTCAATTCAATTCAATTCCTTCTTTTTATCTCTCTTTCATACTCCTTTACTTCTTGCTTATTGTTCCCCTTCTTCTGTTCTTCACTTTAGGGTATGCTTGTTTTCATAAGCTTGTGTTGTCATTGTGTAATTCCACTGTTATGTCTTGTTGGTACAAGCTTCGGACAGTTTATTTTTGAAGTTAGCTCGCGCCATCATGCATTAGCTGAGCAATTACTGTGCTCAGCCCCTGTATAAACGGAATGTTCCGTAATACACTCACGCCCGGCGGGTTGCATACGTTGGGGGCTATCACTTCAGTAGCCGTCTTCACAAATTCCCCTTCGGGGAGATATTTCTTCGCTATCGCGTCGTTTTCTTCTGCTTCTTCCGCTTCTTTTGCTGCTGCTGCTGCTTCTGTTGAGCGTTGTTAGGCAAAATTTGTACCAACTAGGGCACATGCTGAAATGAGAGCTTTCACTTACTATAAGCACTAGCTTCTAAACGTTATAGAAAAAGAGAAATCACCAAGAAACTCCTGTGCAGAAATTAAGCGTTTTTGCCAGGAAAATACCTTAGGAAACATTTGTGCATCTAAACAAAGAGAATAAGGGTGATGTATTTTTTATCACCTGAAGTAACTCCCTTTTATATGTCATATTAAATTAACATTTTCTTTACGTTTTTCTTCAATGGATAGATGATGGGTATTCTAGTTCCCATCTCCTTTGTGCACAACACCTGTGCCTCAGGAGAGTTAGCTTTGCCGTACTATGTTTACTTGTCAGCAGTAACTTGCATGCTTCTCCCTTGCCATTTAATGCAAAATGAATTTCCCGTTATCCCCTACATTAGTTCCCCTGTCATTGTAATACCCAAAGTTATTGGACTCTTTATTGGTTATCTGAATGATTGATATAACTGACACTTTGTCAACCCTCGTGCTTTGCTATTGTTTTTCAAATTGAATATATTTAAAATGGTTGTTTCGAAAAGGGCATATCTCCAGTCTTCGTGGGAATGAGTGAAGCTCTCCATTTCATTCAGAATAAACTGTTTGATTAAAACAGGTCCATCACATATTGCCTGTTCATAAATTCTGAGCTGGCATGATTCTCTATTTACTTTCCCAGAGATGTGACATTTTCCAACTATGTGTGCTGGACAAACAGCTGAGGTAAATGTCGCCTTTTGCAAAATAGCAGATTCATTGGGTGTTATGAGCTGCTGTGATGGATCAAAGGTAGCACTGTCATTGCCTCTACAGTGCCTCTGTCCGGGGGGCCCTAGGGTTCGAGTCCTCACAATGGCAGATTTTTGACCCTAGCTACATAGCTAGGTCGAATCCAGCCACTGTCTGGAGAAGAATTCTAGCGGACGGCTGTTTTCCGTGGTTTCTCCGATCAACCAGGCGAATGCCGGAGCAGCATCCTAACAACGGTCGCGGTCGCGGACCGCTCGTGATCTTTCTTTCTTTTTCCTTGTCCTATCCTCTCCCTTTACACACACACGCGCGCGCGCGCTATGACGCATGTTGGGAGTCGAGTAGCAGTGCGGCTGGGGCGGTGCCCGCTGTCTGGAAGGGGGACCTTGCAAGCCAAAGGGTCGGTACCTGATTTCTCCTTCCACGGGAGAGGAACGTCATCGCCTCCCTGGATAAAACGTGCTCCACAATTACGGGACTAGCACTGGCAAATCCGGTAATCACTGTATGAGTCGGTGTGGTTGGCGTGTGTTTCAGTGCGCGACGCGACGGCGCGCCTGCCCAACGGCGAGGGCACGCGCAGCGACATCTGCGAGCTGCTGCGCGACTCGCAGTTACCTGGCGGCCGCCGGGCGTGGGCGGCGCGGGGCGGCGGGAGGCGGCGGGGCCGGCGGCGGCGGTGGCGGGGCGGCGCGGCGGGCGCGCGGAGGCGGGCCGCAGGAGGCGGTGGCGGCGGCTCGGCGGCGGCGCACGAGTCGCTGCTGCACTCGGTGGTGTCCGGGGCGCTGGACCGCCTGCACTACGAGCCCGACCCCTGCGTGCGCTACGACACCAAGCGCAAGACCTGGCTGTACCTGCACCGCGCGCGCACCGAGCAGGAGTTCGGTGAGTGGCGCGCCAAGTGCCTCCAGCCCGCTTTGTGTTCCACCCTACGTACGTTGCCCTGAAGGTCATCACACTTTCGAGGGAAAACAGTAGTTTTATAGGAGATACAGCACTTTTTTTTCTGCTAAATCACCATCAATTATCGTCCTTTTACATTCGGAAATTGAGTTTTTCCTTAGGTCATAGACAAATCGTTATCGCAATTTCTTGAGAAAACAATATTGTAATAGCAGCAATGCTATGCTAAAACAATGCAATAATGCAGCAATTGCACTATTTTTCTGCATAATCACCATGTATTGTTGTCCTTTTGCTCATGTGGAAAGTGACACACATGCAAGGCACATTTGGAAAGTGATTATACGTCGACAAAAAGACTTCACAATTTCTGGAAAAAAACGTAATCGCATTGATGCTCTTTATTATCACATACTAATCACCTCCAGAATCGAGACATTTGTCATATCGTGAGATCAACATTTGCATAGTTGTGATAGAAGAACTGCCTCGAATAGGTAACGGTGTTCATCAGCAGCCTGCAACTCTGCGTACTGCTGATCAGACAGGAATTTCTAGAGGTGTAAGAAAATTGCTGGAGGTCAAAACTGGACTATTAGGTGGATGATGTAAACACCTTCCAGAGAAACTGTTGCAAAAGATATGTTGTGAATCAAGCTGTGTGTATCGTACTATCAGCATCAGTCTGTCACGTTTCTTAAAATGTGTAGTCAAATTTTAATAAAAATCATATTACATTGAAAATTTTACAAAGCCAATAAAATATTCTATGATATTTGTATTTTAATATTTTTTCATCATTCGATTGGTTATTAAAATTGACGTTAAAGTCGCATTTGATAATTCTCCAATCTCACTTTGTAATAAGATATCTTATGATACGTATTTCGTAAAGTGCTATTGTTGTCACTTTTTTTTTGATTCCTTGTATTTAGAAAAATACAATAGAGTCATGCAAGATTACATCAGGGTAAAAAATATTGAAGGTACTGTTGCGAGAAGTACTCATAAAAGTAGTTAAAAATGTATTATCACAAGCAATAGAGTGGTTCTGTAACCTTCTGAATAAAATAAAAGAATAAAATAAAAGAAGTAACACCCTTTTGCAGAAACTAGGACAGATTGTTGATCATCACAACATTGAAGTTGGAACTCTGCAGAAATTGAAGTATGAAGCTAGTATGTGACAGTTTGCTGTGTTTTGTGTTTTTTAGGGTTGTACAAATGTTTTTGTTCATAAGGGACAGAAAAGCAACGGTAATTATGATGGCCGCTATCATTACAAAGGCTGCTGCTACCACTGTGTCTGAACATTGTTGAAAGTCTTTATTGTTCTCAGAAATGTCACCAACAGAGTGACATAACAACCATTGGGAGCAAGGGAGAGTTCATAATCCATACTGAAAGAAGAAAAGAACAGTTATACAATGAAAAGAAGCACAGCAGATCTTCAGAAATATGCCATGCAAATGAGTCAGAAAAAGAGAATGTTGCTAAGGCTGGGTGAACAAGAAAGGCAACCATCCAGTCTTTGCATAGGTCTTAAATTGACACACTGTAGAACAGTTTCATGTGATAATGTGGCAATTCCTCCACACTTTTATAAAATATAATTATGGGTAATTAATTAGTACATAGATTAAAGGTCTCATGGAACAGTTGGCAGAGCAAGGTTGGCACGGTATGGCTTAGTTGGAAAGAAGGAAAATGTACATAACAAGAATGGGAAGAGATGTGAATCATAAATTTCTCTAATATAATTCAGTAACACTCCCAAAGACCAAGAAGCCAATGATACATGTTCACGAGAACAGTTTTTTCTAATTTTCTCTTGTAACATTATTCTGTCAGTGTCACAATTGAAAACATAAATAACTACAAATCGGCAAATAAAAATAAATTTTATATTTACCTAAGATTATAAATTCTGTGTAAGAAAACATCATGACAGCAGCACACTCTACCTAGCTCTCTGGACTACACTATAACACCAAGAAATATCCTGGTTCCACCACTGATTTTGTTACAGCTCTCTAATGTAAACAGAACAAATAAAAGAAAGAATAAGGATGACCTTTTTTTGAAAAATATTATTTTGAGACTGCTCTTTCTTGAGAGATAATACAGCGTGGATTATGTTTTATGTTAACCAGGTTAAACAGCTGGTAACGTACTATATTCACTGTTATGCATCAAATTTTTTTACATTTATTCCTTATAATTGTTATACACAAACTGAATCAGAAATTATCAGTCTTATTACTGTTGCCCACAATAATGATAAATAAATTACTTTAAAGAGGTTGATTTTCCTTGTTTTCTGTGTTATGTAACATTCTGTTCTCTTTCCATTGTGTAGAGCGGCTACACCAACAACAACAAGGAGCTGTCAAGGGCAAGAAGGCAACTGGACCAAGAAAGATCAGTCGTGCGAAGAAGGATCCTGCAGCTGCTGCGGCGGTGGCAGGCCTGGTGTCGTCTCCGCCCACCACTGCCTCCCCACCCACCCCCACAACTCCTGTGTCGATCAAGAAGGAACTGCCAACATCCCCCCCACCTGTGTCCACCATTGCTGCCTCCATTCTCCAGACCCCTACTGTCACATCAGTATCAGTTACATCTTCACCTGCTGCAATTGCTTCATCTCGTGTCACACCTACCACGTTACTTGCTGGCAAGAGTCTACTTGCCAGTTCAGTACAAGTAAGAATGATTATATACAGTTCATAATAATAATAGTAGTATAATTTCAAATTCCTGAAAATAGCTTAAAAGGTAATGAATTACATTGTGAAACTTGCTATTGTCAATTTGAGCTAGGAATGTTGTTGGGGACTTGTACATATCCATTGAATATTATTTGAGTATTCTTCATTTACAAGAAGAATATGAATACAAAACACAACAGTGATTTTTACTTTCTCATGCTAAAGAAGGAACTTCTTAACAAGAGAAAATTATGTAATTCTGTATGAAAAAATGGCGAATTTTTGGCAGAAAATCTCTTATTATAGGGCCCTGGTAATAAATGAGTGAATAAATCCAGAAGCTAAATTTAGAAAAAAAATTCCCTAATATGTGGTGTAGCTAGAATCCCTGTTCCCTGTATCCTAGAATCCCGGTCCTTAATACCGAAAATTCGATTGATGGCAAAATGTCTGCCCATCCATCCGTCTGTCTATGAACAATGCTAGTTGTTCAGCTGATTTTCTCCGAAATTGATATTCCCCAATCGATCTGGGGGATCTCATGCCTCCTTGGATGTGAAACCAATATTTTAATTTTGGGGGCTACTTTGCTTGAAACTTTGAACATGTTCAAAATTTTCAAAAAAATGACACCACCTGGTTGATTAAATTTTGTTGGTGGGTAGTTAGTTTGAAGGATGTTTAAGAGAATAGTGCAGGCCTCATGTTCTTTGAAAACTGAATTTTTGAAAATTGAAATAATTCAAAATATTTTTCAGACAATGAAAAATACTTTGACAGTCTTCCTACAATGAACTATTTTATGATAATAGTTTTTCCCTAAATGACAACTGTTTCTTAAGATAGATTTTGAAATAAGGTCATGTAGAATTTTTCGAAAATTGTAGTATTTTTTGAGTAATGTTGCATAAAATTAAGCAATTTTTATTTTTTGTTGAAAAATTGCTTTCTCAAATTCAGCTCCCATGTTTTTGATGAAATTTTGTTGGTGGATAGAATGAAGGACATTTAAGGAATGTTGAAGGTCTCGTGTTTGTCGAAAACCCTCATTTTTCTACAATAGAAAAATATTCAATTTTTTTCATTATCCTACAACTACAATTATGAAGAATTTTTTTTCTTAATGAACAGATTCCCAAGTAAACTTTTTTCTTACTCTGAAACAGATCCTCAAGTAAGGTCATGTTGAATTTTTCAAAACTATGAGTATTTTTGGAGTAATTGGGCGTCAAAGTTAGTTGCCCATTCTGAAAATACTGCGTATTTTGAACGTAATTTTAGGTGTTTTGAGGCAGTTGAATGCTCGGTAAGTTAGAATGTGTATAGTATTTCATATTTCTTTGTTCATTGCTTATATTGGAGCTTTTGTTATAATTTTATAAATTAATAATTTAGATATTATTTAAAACCTAAATTAAATAAAGATTGCTAGCCTTCAGTCGCTCGCTCCCAATTTACGCAATTGGATGCTATGTAAATTAGAATTTGTTATTATTTCATATTTCATTTCAAATTGCATTCTTTAATTGTGTTGAATGTGAAAAAGAATAGATGAACTGTCATTGTTGTTACCCATTGTTGTAACGCCGCACTGATAACATGATAATGATGGCTGCTTTTCATTCAAGGAAATAAAAATGAATACTTTAATATATTTGTAGAATGTTACAATATCATAAAGTTTAATGATTACTATTATAATTCGCACCCCAAGTGGTAGACTGCCATAATCTGGGCTGTCCGGGTGATGCCGCGTCAATGGCTGATGTGCCGACGTTTGAGACAGCCCAGATCAAGACTCTGGCCACGGAAGCCTATGACATCAAGACTGCCATAAGTCTGAAAAAATGAATTTTGAGTTATTTGTTGGCTAAAGTGCCTGTTAATGCATGACCTGGAAAAATCACATCTCAACTCATAAATATGATGATTGTATCTTCTGCAAGTTATTCAGTAATTCTCACGCCATTCTGAACTATTCAAATAGTAAATCTTAATTTTGGATGCTTTCTTCTAAAACACATTGTGTGCATACAATCATACAAACTGTTAAGAAGACTGGTAATCCATATAACTCAAGCATATGTCAACAGATGATTTTTCACTTGAAACATTTAGCTAGTCAATTAGTAGCAACTTCAACAATAATGCACATTAAGAAAAACTTGTATGAATTGGCAAAGCTGCAAGCAAGCATGATGCAAACAAAGAAAGATGCACCGTTTATTCTAGAATATAAAACTGCTTATGGTGAAGAGTTCCAGCAGATCAGCACTAGGCAATGATACAGAAGTCGTCGTCAGACAGGATACTTGAATTTGCAAAAGACTTATAAGAAACATCCTGGCATAACTGAGACCAAGAAGTACTTAGTGTACTTATGTGATGCTAACCAGATTTCTTTCCAATTTCATATGTTTCTCTTCTTAGGGTCAATCAAGGGAGCAAAATGTAGAGTATTAGTAGGTTGTAACTTAACTTACTTTTTTAATCTCAGATGTGTTATTTTGATGTTGCTTTTGGATTCTTTCTCTAAGTAAAGTTAGGAATTCCTTTTCTAGAAGTGGTCAGAATATTATTATTTCTAAAAAAGTTTTCACAATTGTTGAGTTTTATTATTGTGGAATAAAGGGCAAGAAAATCAAGTGTAATCAATTGGATGTTTTCACAACTATATTTTTGTTGTGTATTTTACAGTTGCTGTGTGTGTAAAGTAAGATCTTATTCTCTGTTTTGCTGCAGATGAAGACAGCGGGAGGTAGCCCTGTGACAAGCCTTATGAAGACTGTTACCCTGACGCCACAGCAAGTACAGGCTGTAGCCACTGCACGGAGTGTTGTAGCAGCGCAGGCGAAAGCTGCTGCTGCTGCTGGACAAGTGCGCACGGTGAGTGTCTCATTTATTTCTTTGCTTGTCAGCAAAGGGTGAGGTTTAAACAAAAATGGAATGTTTCTCATATATATGAGGTGTCACAAGTCTATTACTGGTTCTAATTTTTTAAATGTATAATATTGTTATTTAAAGAAAATTTTAAGTTATTTAAAGCATAAATATTGCCTTTAAATAGATAATTCATTATTGTATAAGCAACTACAGTAAACCCTCCTTAGCACATACTCACTTCACACATAATTCAACTTCACATGAACAAAAGACAGTAAAACCCCTGTTTTACACTTTTCATGGGACTCTTAGGAAAATGGTGTAAATTGCAGGAAACGTGTGTAAGTGGAAATGATTTTTTTCTCCGAAAATATAAGCACAGTTTAATGAATAAGTACATATAAGTACTTATGCAATCAATAAATATTATAATATGTTTTAATATGAAGTATTAGATATGTAATAAACAATGTTACAAGGTCAAATAGAAATCTGACTGAAATTTAGTTTGGAAACCGAAAGGCATTTTAACCGAAGCCTATTGAATTTTAAATGTCGCAACAACATGTCCTCAAGTCGCCACCATCCTCTGATGGTAGCCTTTGATGATGCATCATGAACTCGTTGTTGAATGAAGGGAAATGGTATTTGTATTGTAAGAAAAAAAATGTGTATGTTTTCACCAACTCCAAAAAATGTTTGTTTTCGGCAGTTCATTATGATTTTAAACTAGTAATTTTTTGAAATTTATTTATTTATGAAATAACAAATAGATGGTTCATGAAACAAATTTACAGTTAAAAACTTACCAAGAATTTTAAACTTTTATGTTTGAGTTATTAATGGATGGGAAAAAGTTATGTTGAGAATGAGAAAGTGTGAAATTATGAAGTAGGATGATAAACAGATGATCGTGAGGCTACCTCTTTTAGGCCTACTCACATGACTGTTGCATTGATGTGCATCACCTATTGTGATGAAGTCGGCTGTGTCAGCCTGTGAAAACGTCATAAAACATGCATCATAGATTAACATTATCTTATGCGGAGCAGCACACAGATACTCTTGGCGACGTGTGTTGTACCTACAGCTCAAGCTACAACATAAGTCAAGATAAAATGCGTTTTAACTTTCAATGTGCAACGCCCGCTACGCAACAAACATTGGCAACGTTGCACGTTGCTCAGAGTGCTTGTGTGTTGTATAAGATTCAGTGTTAATCTGCCACACGCGTTAAGTGATTTGTGTCCACAGACATCCACACAGCTGCGTGGCATCATCAGTGTTAGGTGATGCATGACAATGCAAGGCTCGTGTTATATTTTTCTTCCGTCTATGCAAGGCTTGTTTATATTCTTCTACAAAGGCACATTGGTCATTTTCTCTACCATTGTAAATACCTCTGTAATGTCATGAATTGAAAATTTGTATTAGCCTGGCTATTCAATAATGACTTTCACTGTATTTAAATCTTCTAGTCTTCATGTAATATTTCATAACTCTTTATAATATCGCACCATTTTAATTGTCTTTCTGTTACGGCCATTTTTAACACGGCAAGGTAGTGAGAATGTGCTTCGACCGTATCTATTGTGCATGGAGTGAACGGCTTTCCAGATGGCAAGCCGTCTTGGAAATAGTGGGAAAATATAAATTATGCTATGGTAAATGCAGGATATTCATAATGTTAAGAATATACAAAAGCTGATGGGACTGACAAGAAATGTTGTAAATGCCAGGAAAACGTAAAAGCAGAGTTTTCTTGTATATAACAATGAGATAACAGGGATTTTTATTTTTGGTTTCTTGAAATGTGTGTTAATGAGGTTTTATTGAATAATGAATCTTCTTGCACTCTCATATATTTGATAGGTTTGTATACTGTAATTAAATATTTTGTTAGTCAAATGTCATTTCGTAGAAACAGGCGGTCCATTTGTCAAATAAATCATTTCAAGACAAGTTGAATAAAATTTTATTGTAGCTGGTTGCAATATGCAGTGATTGGTTTTTATTTGTAGAGCTTATAGTAATTCCCCCACTTAAAGTGAATCTGTAGGTTATTTATAAGATAGGTGTTGCATATGTGCTGCATTTTATCTTGAGTTATTGGAAGAGAAATCCTTTCATTTGAATTCGCCTTTTTTACAAAGAAGTACAGATCCCAATTTAACGATATGACTATTTTCGGTCAAAGCAATATATAAATTCCTCATTGCTGATTCATTAAATAATGCCTAAAACATTGTTTATGAATATAGGTAAATTAAAAAAATAAATCCTGAAAAGTAGTTTTTGTTTTTATTTTTTTATTTTAATATAGGGGAACACTTCTGAACATTACTTTTGGATTAACCTGTGTTTTGCAACTTTTTAGTCTTTTAAATTTGTCTTTGCTGGCAAGTGATGATAATTGGGAGTTATGAATGTATAAGGGCCTGCTTGTCTTCAAAACTATTTTCCTGTACCCTTAAAATATAAATTTCTCTCTCTTATATCTTCCACAATATTGGTTCTCTCCTTTTTGCATCTAATTGCAATCAGTGTTTGACTGTGCAGCAACTACCTGAGGCATCGGGACAGGCGTCCCCGCAGCAGGTTGTGTCAGCGGCACAGCAGCTTCAACAGCAACAGCAGCAGCAGTCTGCGACAGCAACGGCTGTGCAGCGTGCTCGTGCCGTGGCACCAGCAACAGCCAAAGCCCTAGGACTGGCTGGGGTTCGTCTAGTCAACGCTACCGCTGCAGGCGGTGGGACCACATTGGCTGGTGGACCTCAGACCATTTTCATTCGGCAACAGGCTTTGCCGCAGGGGAAGGGTGCTTCTGTGACACAGGCGCAGGCACAGGTGAGTAGAGAAGTAGTATACAGTACATGCTGATTATTCTTGTTCTAAGAGAAACTTTGAATGTGTGTATCTCATTTTTAATGACACCAACACATACCAGAACTGGAATATCTTTTGGAATGAATAGAAAAGCAAAAGTATTTAAGTAAACAACACAATGTTATATAAAATAATGATTTTCTTAGACGTACTAAAAAGCAGTGATGTGTATGAATAAATATATTTATTCATGTTTATTTCAAGAATTTCAGATGTTTTCATTTTGGAATTCATTTCTTTTTACTTTCTCTCTACCACTTACTCAGTAGAGAGAAATCTGTGTAATGCTAGATGAAAACAAACACGAATTTTAGGCAGAAAAAGAGTGGGGATATTATAGGCCCCTGGTAATAGGAACGTGAATAAATTCTGTTGCTAAATTTAGAAAAATATCCTCTAACATGTATTGTAGCCAGAATCCATATTTTGTGGGTCCTTGATATCGTACAATCAAACGATGGTAAAACATGTATCTGTCCTTCCGTTGGACCTTCTGTGAACAATGTTAGCGGCTAAAATATTTAGCCGATTTTCCCATAAACCAATATTTTAATTTTGAGAGGGTACTTTATATGAGGGCCCTGGGACATTTTCTAAAGTAAAAAGAAAAGTATCCAATGATTACAGTTTTAAGTCTTATTATTCAGGTAGTTTATTTTACTTCTTCCCATTTGGTTGACCCTTAGGTGGTTCTTACTTCTTTTTCCACTCTTCTCTATTGTTCTAGTCCTAGGAGGTATCTGTCATCCAGCCATTGTCTTCTCTATGTTGTCTCTCCAACCAGATCGCAGCTGGCCTCTTTTCCTTCTTTCTTGCGATTACCAATCCAAAAGCTTCTTTGGAAGTCTATTGCTCTGCACATGTCCAAACCATAACAGTTGTTTCCTTTCAATTTCATGTAGTGTATTCTGCTTCAAACCCATAATTTCTTTAATTCTTTTATTTCGTATTTTCTCTCTTCTTGAGATGCCAGCAAGATGATTCTAAGAAAGTCCATTTCCCTGACCATCAACTTTGCTCTTATTTGTTCTGAGAGTTGCCATTTCTCAGCACCATACAGTACCACACTTTGGATTATTACTCTATGTATCATTAGTTTTGATTTTTATTTATTTTCTTGTCCCATAGGATAGAATTCAGGGAACCAATCAGATTTCTGCCTTGTTTAATTTGTTCCAAAACCTCTGTCTAGAAAGTTCCTGCTTCCCAATTTTTACCCCTAAATATTTTATTTCTTTAGTTTTCTTAGTTTTTTTTCCTGGGTCCATAGTTACGTAATCGTTATTACTATTTAATGCCCAGTAAATTATTTATATCTATGTTGAGTGTCAATCCTCACTTTGGATACTCATCTCTAATCTTTATCAGCATAAATTCTATATCATCTTGCCACTATTACCTGGTCGTGCAAACTGAAAAGTGTAGAGAGTAGAGTACATATCTACTGGTATTATTATTCCCGCACAACTCCTTTTCCATATTTGCAGGACCTCGTTCACATAGATTTTGAACTGTGTCGATGAAATGCAGCATTGATGTGGCTAGACATCTATTTATTAAGAGATGCTTTCTAGAAGATCTAAAGGAATGTAATTGGTGTTTTTGATAATTCCTTTAGACCTCTAAATTACCAGCACTGCCAATTATATTTCTTGTTTATGATTTCTGTCCCCGTTTGAAAATTTGCAAGAATGAAGTGGCCACTTCAAGTGCAAAAAGATGCCATTTCCTGCACAAAATAAAAAAAAATAAGAACAGGAGACTTCCCTTTTGCTTCTATCTTGCAGAATGTGGAGCTTTTGCCTTCTAGAGAAGAGATATGGAATGAAGGAGATTTATTTATTTTCTCTTCTTTCAGAGAGAAAGAATTTGATGAAATCATCTTATTAATATTGAGATTGCATTTATGTAGCAAGCACACGAATTTTTTTTTTTGGACTTCAACTGTCTTGAGTTTATTCAGGGGGTAGAATATCAATGGGTCATTAGTGAATCAAGTATCTGACCATTTCCAAAATTTTGCAATTTTCAAATGGCTACAACTGAATCAAAATTAGGTTGTAGAAATAAGAAAAATAGAATAAATAGAAAATTAGTATTGTTTTAGGCAAAGGATCTATTTAGAAATTGGTATGCTAACTCCCATTTGTGTTTCACATGATGCAATAGCATAAGAATTTTAAGAAAACTACAAAAATGTCCTTAACTATGGCCACTACTGTTTCTTTGACACTGTATATGTTATTGTCAGGTGGTACAAACAACTGCTGGCTCTACATCTGTGGTAGAAGCTGCTGCTGGTCAGCAACAGGCCCAGCAACAACCACAACAGCAGCAAATTCTGTTGCAACAGCAGGCAAAAGTAAGGGATATTACTTTTCTCATATATATCTATTTGAGAAACAAGCCAGTGGTATATTCCCAATAATAAGCTTATTTATATTCATTATTATCACTTCATTTGTAACAGAATTTTATCAATTCTTTTGATGATGTGAGGTAATGCAGAAAATCACTCTGTCGAAATAGAATCTTTTCTTAGCCAAACGTGAAATCTAACGTGATTTTCAAAGGCATATTAGATGTCATATCTCATTCACAGTTTTCTAATGCGATTTCTGAAGTTGTTGGAGACGTTGAGGCTTGTTCCAAATGGCATTTCTCTGGACTTCTTTTATGTCAATAATGTTGCAAGGGCAATTAATAAATTTCTTATAGGATTTTTTATTAAAAGAGGTACAGGTGAATTTTTGAGGTTATAATTTTATTGTATTGCATTTTGTAGCATTTGGTTCCCTAATAAAAATGAAATCATTGTGCTAGAGTTATAGTGACAAAAGTGTAGATTTTGTCATTAATTCAAGTGGAAATAAAAGTGAGTGTCACTTTACGCAACTTCAAAAATTCTAAAAGTTTGCAAATTGTGTATGATTCCCATTTCTTTGGACCATTGAAGCAATGGACTATTTT